TGAAGACCTCCAAGATCTGTAGCCAAAGTTGGTTGGTAACCGACAGCAGATGGGATACGTCCCAGCAAAGCAGACACCTCAGAGTTAGCCTGCAGGTCGACAGAAAGAACAAATTTTAGAAAATTATCAACATGCAGTGCACAATAAGGGTCCTCCAAAAACTCCATGACAAACGAGCTTCTTACCTGGGTGAAACGGAAAATATTGTCAATGAAGAGAAGCACATCCTGCCCCTCAGCATCACGGAAGTGCTCAGCAACAGTAAGCCCAGTGAGACCAACACGGGCACGAGCACCAGGGGGCTCATTCATTTGACCATAGACAAGAGCACATTTGCTTTCAGCCTAATGAATCAAAAAAACATAAGATTTTAAGATTTAAGTGTGACGAACAAAATACAAACAAGATAAATAAGTATATATAAATAGTAAATATAAGTAGTATAAACTTGACCTGCTTATCCCCTAGCTTAATGACACCACTTTCCATCATTTCTCTGTACAAGTCATTACCCTCGCGAGTACGTTCTCCAACACCGGCAAACACTGAGAAACCACCTGATCAAAGAAACCAAGTAAAATTCAATAAAACATGGAGAGGAATATTCATATGAGCACATTGGCAAATGCATTTGTAAAAACAAACCATGAGCTTTAGCAACGTTGTTGATAAGTTCCATGATAAGCACAGTTTTTCCGACACCAGCACCACCAAAAAGCCCAATCTTTCCTCCTTTTTGGTATGGAGCTAGGAGATCAACAACCTGTGGAGAGAAGCAACTTGATAAAATTTGAGTCTGTATCGCACTTCCGTACATGAAAGTTCATCAAACATAACAATAGAAGCACACCTTTCTTTTTATAAAAAATTAGGTAAAAGTAGTGGAAATTCAAATACATTTATCACATAAATTTCAAATGAATTAAGTACCTTGATACCAGTAACAAGGATCTGTTGTTCAGTTGCTTGCTCAGCAAATGAAGGAGCTTCTCTGTGGATGGGCAAGTAGTGGTCGGTTTCTGTTGGAAATAAAAACCTTATAAAAGTCAGAAAAGTCCTTGTTTCTAATTCTAGAACAATGCTATAAGTAATAACAAGCTTTTAGAATCTTACTGATTTCGCCTCTCTCATCAATAGGCTCTCCAAGGACATTCATGATACGGCCAAGGGTAGCCCTACCGACAGGTACCTAAAATGCATATAAAAACCAATTATAAATCAAATTCAAATTACAACTTATATTAAAAAGTAGAAGTTTCTACCTTTTTCACCCATGAAACCAATACAAAAAAGAAACTTAATATTCTACAAACGCTAAATAAATGAGATATCAAGCCATTCAAATAACCAAAACCATATAAGCTCGTCATCTGGAGAGAACCAGACCCTAACAAAAATCAATAACCACTTATCACTTATCAGCAACAAACAGTTTTAAATAAAAAAAAAATCGTTAAAATCCAATTTTGAAAATAATAAATTTGCGGATAGACCCGTCTGAGAAAACAGGCAAAAATATCATTCAAGGACTTCAGTTTCAGTGTTTTCTAGCTATACCTCAAAAATACCCAAAAATCTGGAAATCAAATTACGTCGAAAACTAATCGCCGATACATTCATCAAATTTAACCTAAACATAAAAGAGTCGTTAAAAATCAGATCTTGAAAATAATGGGAAAAAAAAAATTCCTGCGATCATATAGACAGAATAGCCATTCCCTTTTAGTGTTCTCCAACTCATTATCAACAATATCCAAAAATAAAAACTTTCAGTCCTAAAAACCTAAAAAACTGGGAAATCGCATAAAACAAAACACATCACTCAGATCTACAATCGCCAGCAAAATCTACAGTACTCACAGTGATAGGAGAGCCGGTGTTGAGTACGCTCTGGCCTCTGACCAACCCTTCAGTTCCATCCATAGCAATGGTCCGAACAGTCCCTCCACCCATGTGCTGCGCCACTTCAAGCACCAACCTAACGGAGTGGTCCACGACTTCAAGCGCCGTCATAATCGGCGGAATTCCCTCATCGAACCTCACATCGACAACGGCACCAATGACCTGACACACCTGTCCGATCGCGCCCTTCCCAGTGAACTCATCGGTAATCTTACCACCACCGCCCTTCTTGACGTCGGGCTTGGGGGGAGCCGGAGCTGCCGCGGCAGCAGAGGAGGTCGCGTATTCGGCCACGCGCGAGCGGATGAAGTTAGAGACGGGAGCAGCGGCGCGGCGCGTGGTGATAGGTGAAGTGAGGGAGGAGTGAGAGAAGGGGGATTTGGAGTAAGATCGGCGGAGAATCGTGGAGGCGAGCCTGCGAGAAGCCATCTGGTAGGGCTTCAATGGAGATAGAGAAAGAGAGAGAGAAAGAGTGAAGTTCTAGGGTTTGGTTTTTTGTGTGAAAAGTGGCTTTATGTACAAGCTGAGAAATAGTGAGGTAAATTGGTAAAAACGTAAAAAGATAAAATATTTGTTTTTACTGTTTAACTGTTTTAATAGGAATAGGATTATAGGAGGAATATGCTGCTTTAGTTCAGGTTAGTTTGGTTTGCTTTTCTGTTGGGAACGGCGTCGTTTGGTGTTTTTTGAAATTTTGAATTTTCTTTTAAATTATGAATTATGAAGATAATTTTTTAATATTGGGATTAAAATAAATTTATGAGAAAAGACATTTTAATATAAAAATTTTAAACTTGAAAGTATGATCGTTATTTGTTAATTTTTTTTTTGTCACATATTACGTTCAATAAGTAGATTAAATATCCTCTAAAATTGTTTGTTAATTTAGTGATTTGATTAATTTTATCAATAAAAAGTTAGGTTTTTGAAATTTAACATATTTTTTTTTCGTATTAAACTACATATGTAAATATCTAAATATATTAAAGGGTAAATTGGTGAAGGATTTATATAAGATATAAACCTAGTTGTGGAACCATATAATAAATTTCTTGACATCATTTATTCTTAAACTAAGAATTAAGCTTGAGCCTATATTTTCTCTAACCACTCAATGAAAGGTCCAAACTTAAAGAAAAAAGAAAATTTAAATTTAAATAAGAAATACTAAAATATTGAAGCATTTTATATTATATAATCTCAAGTTATGCTTAATCACTCTATAAAAATATCATAATGTTAGATCTACAACATTCTCTCACAACCCTCGACATAGCAGTTCATCATTGATTAGCTCGTAAATGGATAAATAAGACCCATTTTACAAGCTAATCAATAACAAGTTACCACGTCAAAGTTTATGAGATTAGGTTATAGAGCTAACAATAACATTACTCATTAATTAATTAACATTATTAACCCGTTATCAAGATTCATTAATAGTGGATGACGATTTGGTAGGCCCAAAAAGAAACTCGTAAAAGCCCATATTACTTGTATTTACAGGAAAGACCCAACAAGCCCAAACTTATAACTAGAAAACTAGGCTTGAGTTAATAAATACCGTTTATTGAAGAACTTGTATAGTAGATTTCGATAAATTAAAGAGGTTAAATCCTTAACATAATTCTCAATCAATCACAAAGATAAATAAGCCACCTTAAAGCCATAAACAAACAAAATTGATAGTATACACAATATTTTTATCCTTATATGGTAGTGATCAATCAAATTTATTTGATAAATAAACATAAAGTATAGTTTGGTAATAAGCAATGCACTCAAACCTCATATAGTGAACATGAAAATAATAGAATGAAACTTTAATATGCTAAAGTGGACACATTTGTTTTGTCCACATCATACTAACATTACATATAAAGGGGATGCTAAACCACCCAAAACATTCTCAAAATTCTATTCTCCGAATGAGATTTAATCCAATGAATTAACGTTTGATACGTGCGAGATTACGAAGGTATTGAATTGATAATTGTTGACCAAGAATACTGTATTTTTTTAGGTCAATTTAATGATTATCGTGAATTTGTTGTTTTATTCATTGATACCTTAATATGACTCTTGATATTGATAAATTTATAACAATTTTGAGAATAAAGAATTCTTATAAATTTGTGTTATAACTCAAGTTCAAGGGAGAACCCAACCCAAAAGTTATGTTTGATTGGTGGGAGAGCCTATAAGCTAAAGTACCACACTTAGAGGGTGTAAGATCTTGATGCGGGATCTTAAAGTTGTACCCCCCTTCAAGAGCCGATGTCCAAGGCGGCAACTTTCACATTATTGACACTGACCTGACGGTAGCCTTTCCGCAGTCTAACTCTCAATGAGAGCACCAATGTTAAACTCAAACTCAAAGGAGAGTTCAATCCAAAAGATCGGTCTGATAGGTGAGAGAGCTCTTAGACTTAAGTATCATACTTGGTGGGTATGAGATCTTGATGTGAGATTTTAACATTCCATCTCCCTTTAAGATTCGACGTCCATGACGACTTTTACTTTATTGACACAAACTTGATATTGGCCCTTCTATAAACGAACTCTCAACAAGAGCACTAATGCTAGAATTTAAGCTCAAAAGAGAGTTTAACCCAAAAGACAAATCTAATAGATGGGGGAGTTATTAGCCTTAAGTACCATACTTAGTGGGTGTAAGTCTGAGAGATCCCAATGTGGTATACTAGCATTATGTTTTTAGGTCAATATAACTTTCGATGTCGATAATCACTGGATTAATTCAATTTACGAGAATCATCAAATTGACCAAAGAAAATATATAGGATAATATTCTCGTTCAACAATTTATCAACCATATACCTTTGTGATTTCCTCTATCAAATCTTAATTTATTAAGTTAATCCAATTTTGTTCAACTGATTTAATCAAATCTCCACCGTTCAATTTGTTTTGACAAATTTAAGAATTCAATCTCAACATCACACAGACACCTTCACATCAAATGTTAAAAACTCCCGCCAACTTACAATTCCTTTTCCCTCCACATTACCCACCGGCTACAGCCGGTAAACCCACCGCTATAAGAACCTTCAACCTCTTTCTCAGCGAACCTCCTTCTCCCTCTCCAGTCTCCTCACACTGCCAATTCTCGGTCACCGGTGGTTTCTCTCAAATCCCTGTTCTAGGGTTTTTCTAATCTTCGATGAAGGATATCGATACCCCGTACAGGAATAGAGCTAACCCTTCAGCGGCTTCATTTCACTGCGGTTCTTTACTATGAGCGCCGTCAACATCACGAACGTCACCGTTTTGGACAACCCCGCCGCCTTCCTAAACCCCTTTCAGTTCGAAATCTCATACGAGTGCTTGACTCCTCTTAAAGACGGTAACTTGACAAAACCCCTAATTTTTTTATTTGAATTACTGTAATTTAAGTTGAGATAGGGTTTGATGTAATTGTATAATTAGCTGATTTATTTGCGAAAATTGTGTTGTTTTTATGCGTTATGAAGCATTTTTGTGTAATTTTATCAACCGGGGTTTGATTAATTTTAACCCATTAAAATTCAATATATTGGAAGTAATGTGTTGAAATGTAGAGCTGAAATAAATAGTGAGGTATAATTATTGCTGAGGGGTTAGAAGAGTGGTATGGTTTGTGATCCAATTCCTCAGGGCCATTTACTTCGCGAAAGGGCTATGAGTTTCATGCTTTTGAAGCTTGTAGGGTTCACCGTGATCCCAGTTTTTAGTTTTAAGTTTGTTAAGCCGGTTAGGGAGACTTTTTATTCATTTCCTTGAAATTTTTTGGTTCTAGATAGGTGAGATAGAGTATTTTCTCTCAAGTTCGAGATCTTTAATCTTAATCATGAAGTATTTTTTCTTATGTTTTAATTTCTATTATGGTGTTGAATGATGAACAACGATAATAGACTTTGACGGGAGTAGTTTGTGTAAGTAAATGTTAATCCACAACTATGAATGTTCAAGTTATTTACTTTCGGGGGTGACTGTTGATCTGTTTTATCCTACTCAACAGCCTATTCTTAAAGCTTGATGTAGAGACCTGCTTTTGGGATTGAACTACCAAGTTCTCTCACTATTTGTATCATTGCAATATGCTTTCAAATGTGTGTTCTTAAATTTATGAAACTGAGGTATTGACAGTGATTCTCAAATATCGTAGAACAGAATGTGATACGATGAGATAGAATGCAATAGAAAGGAAGACACAAGGAATGGGTTACCTATTTTGAATGGTCAAAGTGAACCCTTTCATTATGAATTCTTTAATTCGGAATGAATCAAATCTCCCCAAGTAGGATTCGAACATACGACCAATCAGTTAACAGTCGACCGCTCTACCATCGAGCTACTGAGGAACAGCAGGAGATTCTAGCTCACAGAGTTCAATTCCCGTTCTCAACCCATGACCAATATGAACTCGAAGTTTCTTTCATAACTCCCAGAACTTCTTCGTAGTGGCTCCATTTCATTCCTCGTTTCATAGGGAACCTCAAAGTGGCTCTATTTCATGCCTCGTTTCATAGGGAACCTCAAAGTGGCTCTATTTCATTATATTCCATCCATATCCCAATTCCATTTATTTAATATTCCTTTGGTGTCATTGACATAAGAATTGACATAAGGGATGTCGTTTCTAGTCTATTTGTTTCTATTTCTATATATGGAAAGTTGAAAAATCATCATATAAAAATCCAGAAATCGAAATAGAAAAGAAAAAGGGGAGGTTTGTGATGATTTTTCAATCTTTTATACTAGGTAATCTAGTATACTTATGCATGAAGATAATCAATTCGGTCGTTGTGGTCGGACTCTATTATGGATTTTTGACCACATTCTCCATAAGGCCTTCTTATCTCTTCCTTCTTTGAGCTCGGGTTATGGAAGAAGGAGAAGAAGGAACTGAGAAGACGGTAACAACAACAACTGGTTTTATTGCAAGATAGCTCATGATGTTCATATCGATCTATGATGCGCCTTTGCATCTAGCATTGGGTAGACCTCATACAATAACTGTCCTAGCTCTACTGCATCTTTTGTTTCATCTCTTTTGGAACAATCACAAACATGTTTTTGATTATGGATCTACTATCAGAAATTCAATGGGTAATCTTAGCATTAAATGTGTATTCTTGAATAATCTCATTTTTCAATTATTCAACCATTTCATTTTACCAAGTTCAATGTTAGCAAGATTAGTCAACATTTCTATGTTTCGATGCAACAACAAGATGTTATTTGTAACAAGTAGTTTTGTTGATTGGTTAATTGGTCACATTTTATTCATGAAATGGGTTGGATTGGTATTAGTTTGGATACAGCAAAAGAATTCTATTAGAGCCTCTTTTAGAAACTAAATTAAGTATGTTCCAATAATGTAAAGATGAATAAAAGGGCTTATATAAAAAGGAAGCTATAACTATTTCAAAATATGCTATATTGACCGAAAAGGTTGAAATTGTTAAAAATTCATACCAATCGAAAAAATGATTTGAATTTTGATGTAAATTTCAACTGTTTGTATTTTAGGCTGTAAAGGTGGATGCATTTGTTTTAATTTTTGAAGTTTATTTCTGTCTACTTTTATCTGAAAAGAAAAAGAAGAATCTGCTATATTCGTTTGCTTTTGAGTATTATGTATATCTATCCAACTAAATATTGCTTATAATGAATTTTACCTTCGGTGTTGTACTATTTCCGTGACTAAATGTCTATCAATGTGTGACAATCTCATTTTGCTGGATGTGCATTTTTTATCTTGATTCTTTAAACTGTCTTGACATCTTTCTTCTCAATTTAAAACGTATATCTGAAGTCACTTTAGTTTACTTGGTGAATTCCCATTTAACACTCAATTTGTTACAGATTTGGAATGGAAACTCATTTACGTGGGATCTGCTGAGGATGAAACTTACGACCAACTCTTAGAAAGTGTGCTTGTTGGCCCTGTAAATGTTGGGAACTATCGTTTTGTCTTGCAGGTAATTCTTGATCACACCTTTGCATGCTCTTAAACTAGTTTCTAAGCATTTACTTTTACACCTTATGAATTACATTATTGGACTCTTGACAGGCAGACCCTCCAGACCCCTCAAAAATTCGTGAAGAGGATATAATTGGCGTCACAGTGCTGCTATTGACGTGCTCTTACATGGGACAGGAATTTATCCGAGTGGGATACTATGTAAACAATGATTACGATGATGAGCAGCTAAGAGAGGAACCTCCCCCAAAGGTTTTGATTGATAAAGTTCAAAGAAATATATTAGCTGACAAGCCTAGAGTCACAAAATTTCCAATCAATTTTCATCCAGAGAACAATGAGCCTGCAGAAGGAAATCCTCCTTCACCTGATCATGCTATCGAAACAAATGGGAATGGAGAACTGCCCCCCTCACCTGATCATCTGCATGGGAACGGAGAAGTACCCCCGTCTCCTGATCATCCGCCTCATGATCAGTAGTTTGCAGTGTCAAATTTTCTACACAACAAGCCTCCAACTTTTTTACAACTTTTGCATGGTGGCCATTACTGGTGAATTAGTTTTGAAAATGTCAAACATATGCAATTCCAGTGACTTAGTTCCTGAGAGCAACTTTTGTAAAGTCTTAAATGATATGTTTGTAGCATCTTTTGCCTTTTGATTGCTGAGCTGCTTATACTTAAAAAATTTTGTTACTCACTGAATTCAAATATGATCTAAGTAGATGCTTGCACAATTTTGTTTTCAGGCTCTCAAAGTTTCAACCTAAAATGCTTTTTGCCTTAAACTTGTTTGGATATTGTATTGGGCTTCCCTATGTTTTTAGGTAGCATAATAGATACAACAATGAATAGCTTCTTTGGTAAGGAGATTAGGAGAGTAATTTATGTAAATCCAGTGATTTTCATGACTGCAAATTGATTTTATGCACATAATTGCTTTATCATTTATACAGATGCTTTCGCTTTCCTCAATGAAGATATCAATCTAGCTTCAACTGGTTGTCCTGATTTGATGCAAAATGCAACTCTATGGTGCAGTGTCAATAAGAAGGCCGGTTTTCTGAACTCTGCGGCCTGCGCAGGGCTCTAGCTGCCTGTAAGGGGAAAAAAAACGCATAAAAGACATTATCTGTAAGAAAATAAAAATAAAAGAAGTGTTAGGAGAGGTCATACCTAAAGTTTCAAATCTAGCTTAACAGAATTGGCTTACCTCTTTATCCCAGTTCGTACATGCATTTACTGTAACAAGTGCCAAAACTTGTACAGAAAGTCCACAAATGATTCCCATCCAAAGCCCCTGAAGGTTTATTATAACAACGAAATTGCAGCAGTAAGCACTTGCTTGCATACTGTACAAAGAATGTACTCGAATCATTTTCGCGAATGAAAGATAGATAGAAAGGAAAGAGAAAGACTTACCATGCCTCCAATATGAAAGTAAAATGCAAAGAGCACTGCAGAAGGAATTCCTACACCATAATAAGCTCCAAGGTTGATTAATGCACAGAGATTTTGCCATCCACATCCTCTTGCAGCTCCTACATATTAAATGGACTGATTTGGATTAATTTTAAATTGAACATATTAATCACGATAGAAATGAATTTAGTTTAGTTACTTAATTGTGATTTGAGATCAACTAGGACCTGAAAGCACACATTGGAATCCATCCAGGAAGTCGGATAATGCCAGAAGTGGCATCATTTTAGCAACATATTTGATCACTTCTGCTTCACTGCTGTAGACCTTTCCCCAAACATGGCGTACCAAAATTGTCGTGATCCCAACTGTTGCACCCTCTGTGATTGCTATTATGATCATCACCCTGTGAGCTAAGCGGGCGCCTTGTGAGTTCCCAGCACCAAGCTCATTTGATACTCGTGTACTGTAACAACAGAATTAAGATGGTTGCTTGAAGAAAGAGTATATTGAAAACGAAAAAAAAAAAAAAGAAAGAATTGAGAAATGTTAATTGACCTTATAGCACCACCAAGACCAACAGAGATCATATAGACCATCCAGCATGTGTTAAGGCTGTGAATTGAACCATTGTTAATGAATAATACTCGATCAATNGATGGGGATTCTTATTTTCCCCATCATCCCACCCACCTTATAAATAAATAAATAACAAACAACCTCTTTGATGGCCATTGCTAGGGCATTCTATCAAGTTTTCCTGATGAGAAATTTCCTATCAAAGCTCAATATCGTGCGATCAAGGGCGTTTTCTTGGCTAGGAAGAGAGGGGGAACCGAGCAAGAAAGAGCTACTGCACGATTGGAGGATTAAGAAGGCCCAGTCTTTCTTTCGTAATGAAGTGCAGTTTTGGGACTTGTCCACTAGAATTCAAAGGTAAAAGATAAATGAAGAGCATAGTCTTGTAAGCGTAAAGCATAAGTAAAGAAAGAGAGAGATCATGTACTTAGCACAAGTACTCAAGGATCAATGGCGTAGCTAAGCATACTGCGGCGAGTCTAATTGTATCAGTAAGGAAGGGATCTTTGAATCCCTATGAGGTAGGCCTAGCCTAGGCTTGTGCGGTTAAGGTTGTTGTACTTTCGAAAACTGGGGGAATTGTTTTTGCTGGCCGGCCCACGCTCGACATTCATTCTTTCGCTTTCCTTCTTTATTTTATTCTTTGCTTCTGCCTCCACCAAGTATGAACAACTAACCTCTTTTGAACAATACAGTAATAAAAAAGTACGATGCTTACAAGTAAAGATCCCAGAGTAGCTTGCTAGGTCTTTTGTTTGAGGTTTTTATACGTGCAAGATGAGTACTTAGAATAGGAACATACCCGAACAGGAGATCACACAGAGTCGAAGAATCACTGAACGAGCCTTTGTGTGATGAAGTTAGATTGGAAGTGGCATAATATACCTCCTTCGAACCCTCAACAATAGAATGTGTGTGTTCCCAGTAGGGATTCTAACGGAGGAGTTTGAACGGGCTCTTGGAAGAGCGCTCCGCATGTTTTTTCTCCTATTGAGAACCCCCTAGTCGTGAGAAAGTGCCGCTCTACCCCCCTCATTCATGATTCATGTGAGGAAAGACGGAGGAAGGAAATAGGCGATCTTGTTAGCTTGAACCGTCAAAATAGAACGTCCCCTGGACAAACAATCAACAGGTGAGATATAATTTCCAATGCAAAACAAAAGAATTTGACGATCTGATTCTGGAGGAGAATACATGTCCACGAAATTCTCTCAATATCATCGCATATGATATAATTTTTGAAAATTATAAATTTTATCTCTCAAAAATCTTTAAACATTTTCTTGAAAATTTATCAACCTTGAACAAATAAAACCTATTTCATTTTAACTAAAATTTAAGGAGACCACGATGAATTTAGACTTTTAATAAATAAATCAAACTAAAACGTTAGAAAAAAAATTTCCCAAAGAAACCACGAAGAGCCATACTTTATTCTTCCTCTTCTTCACCATCTCCTTGTTCTTGCTTTCCAGTCATGGCTTATTCTCTCTCCTCCCTTTTCTCCTACACTCCTCACTCTTTATCCTCCCCAAAACCAAACCCCAATCTATATTCCCTCCCTCCACGTTCCCGCTCTTTCATCACCGTTGCTGAAAACAAGCAACAGGGGGTTCTCTGAAAATTTTGAAAGGTTCCCAGTTGTGGAGACGAGCAAAAGGGTGAATGGGAGTAAAAAATTTGAGGAGAGAATTGGGGTGGTGATGGAGGACGAGATGGAGCCAGAGGTTTTTTGGGAGCAAAGAGTGAAGGATGTTGAGCTGAGAAAGAGGGAAGGATTGTTACGAGTCCCGGGTTTAGTTTCTCTGCGGCTGGACTTTTGTTCCCTTATCATCTTGGTGTTGCTTAGTTTCTCATTGAAAAGGGTTATGTTAAGGTTTGTTTTTTGATGGGTCGAGTTCAATTTTTGCTCTTTATTTGTTTTTTGTTGAGGGCATAATCGAAAATTGGTTGGAGTTTTGGAGGAGAATTTGATTGAAACTACCTACATTTGATGCATTGATTCTCCATACGTCATAAAAAATGTTGGCCTTTTTATAATTGCCTTATTTTACTGAGATTATTGCGTGTGGTTCTGAAGAATTTATAAATTAAGATACAATTGAAAGGGGGATGCGTTCAGTTTTTGACTTTAATTTCCTCTGTTAAATAAAGGTTTGTTAGTTGATGGGTCAAGTTCAATTTTTGATCTTTCTGTTTTTATGTTAGGGTTTAATTGAAAATTGCTTGGAGTTTAGGGGGAAATTTTGATTCAAACTGCCTGCATTTGATGCATTAATCTCAATGCATCTGATGCATTTTAATTTGCTTGTGTTCCTGACATTGAGGCGTGTGATTCTGAACCATTTATAAATTAAGATACAGTTGAATGGTTGGGTTCACTTTTTGAATTCAATTTCCTTGGTTATTCACATTTTGAAATATTTATGAGTTTATGGTTTGACTTGAAGTAGGAATTCTTATTTGTGCGAATGTTCATCTGCAGTCATTTGAATCAAATTATCTTTGATAATAGAGGGATTAAGTTAAAGCTTGTATTGTTTGTGGGAAATTTGATGAATTTTATGATTAGTTTTGTGGTTCATATAATTGAAACAGATGGATTACCAGTAAACAGGTTAAATAATAGGCAAACATTTATATACAGAATCCAAATAAAAAGTATTTGCTCACAATTTTATTTATTTATTTTGGTGTCCATGTTTTACATTGTGTGCCAGGTTCAACAGAAGANTTTTTAATTGAGGTCTAAACAGCAATCAGAAATAGGATCAAAGAAATTGGAATGAATGAAGAGTTAATGCAGTTAGAGTACTTCATTTAATGCTAGTTTGTTGTTAAATAATTTCTCAATGAAAGTTTCATAATCCGAGTGGACAAGCTAACCCATTGTGGGCTCTTTAATGACGTGGTTAGAGCATCTTTCTAAAGGACTTGGATGTGAACCAAGAATTTTATCGTAATTTCTAACAGGTCAAACTCCGTTCTCTCATGACTGAACCTGCAATTTTATCCTTGTTCTGCATTTCTTATTCTATTGTTTACAGTTCTATCATTTGCATGGAGTTGGCAGCTCAATGCTGTGGCATTTCTGCTAGGAACTCGTGCTTGCAAGTTGGATCTGGTGTCAGTACTAATGATTCAACTGAACAATGTAGAGTTCCTCCTTGTTAGGGATTGGTATCGGTAGAAGGGACAACAGACATTTTTTTCCCCTTATCTATATTAGGAAATTGTTGGTTGTCTTTGAAGACTCCTAGTCATATGTGTTTTCAGTAGCATGTCTCTTGATATTGTGCTTGAAGTAGTCAGTCATCTTTAATGCTTAGTTCTCTCTTTCCCGATCAAATTCATGGGGTTTAGGTTGCAGATGCAAAGCTGTGTCTTAACCCTTACAGGCTTTTACCCCCAAGTGAGTTGGATTCCTTTCTTGGAAATGGATCATAATGCTTGGCATGCGTTTTCTACCAAATGCAGAAAAAATTGTAAATGTGCACTTTAACTTAAGAGGTCTAATGCCTACTTGCAACATACCGAAATGGATGAAATGCAGACCCATGGGCCATGCTACGAAATCTCCTAATCTTATGAACATATAAGATATTAACATTGAATGTAGTGTCATTATTTTGTGATACCTGAGAGACACCTTCTTGGATCTCTGTATTAGAAAGACTACGGAGTCCACTTGAAGATAACCTTTAGGGATATAGACATCCGTAGGTTTGACTTTAGGCATCGTTGTAGAGGGTAGCCTTTCATATCTCTTGAATGTTGGTACAGTCCAAGTTCTTGATGCCGCATCTTATATACTGTGATAATTTTTTGAAGGGGAATGGCGAGGCACTGTAATTACCTTGGGGACTTATTGCTGGCGTTGTCCTTCAGTTTACCTTGTGGGATAAGGTAAATTTCAAATTTTTTAACTTTATACAATGACAGTCTAATAGATTTAACTAGTATGCAATTTCCGCTCTGAAATTCACTCCTTTTGCAGTTCAGCGGTTCCTTATTTTTACCCTATTTATCTTCTTATTCTGCTAATATGGAGAGAGAGAAGAGATGAAGTTCGCTGTGCAGAGAAGTATAGAGAAATATGGGCAGAATACTGTAGACTTGTTCCATGGAGAATATTACCATATGCTTATTAGCAAAAAGGTTGTGGAATATCTGCTGGGAGGCTTTCAGTTCTGCTGGGGGAGGGAATTTTTGCCCTTGGGTTTCCCATCACCAATTCTCTATAATCCACATGATTTTCAAAACTTTACAAAGACACCCAAAATCTAATTGCCGTTTATGATCTGTCATAATTCAATATGTTTGAGCAAAATTTATACTAGCTCAAAATAAGATGGTGGATTGTATTCCCGCTTAATTATAAAAAGTATAAGACTATGAATGGAGTATATGTTGGAAACATAGACAAAATAGTACAGCGACACTAATTGATGGTTTCTATATAGATTTCTCTCTTCCCTTTGGTAGTATCTTTCTCTTCTCATTGTCTTCATCTCTACCTTTTTGTACGGTCATTGTTTATGGGCATTAACTTGCTCGATACTCTTAGGGTGTGTTTGGTTTAGAGAATGTTGTATTACTAGGAATGTTATATTAATAGAAAGTTAGATTACTTTAAAGATTACTAGGAATGTTTAGAGAAATGTGTTTGGTTGGTTGTAATAAATTGGTGAGTATGTTATATTAATATGTTTGGTTGTGAGGAATAAATTGGTGGGTATATTATATAATTTACTAAATTGTTCTCATTTTTAAATATTAATATAATATTATTTTTATTATTATTTTTTTAATTGTTTCTTTTAACTCCTCTACATTTCAGATTTAGTTAAAACATCACAGCAACAAAAAAAGTTTAAAACTTAGCAAACATACCTTCATCCACCCCAAGCCACTACTGTCAACTAGACATCACTGTCGGTAGTCGCTGTCAGTGGATGTAACGGCGCATGTCAGTGGCTGTAACGGCGCATGATCGGTTAACTTTGGTTGGTCGTGTGTCGATCTGACCATTAGTTTTGGTCATTGATGGCCATAATCTGGCTGTTTAGCGGTAGATCTAGTCGGAAAAGCTATAATAGATTTGATCGTTTTTTACTAGATTTACGACCATATCCGTGCACGATCGGTCATTTCAAGCCAGTCATGTGCCTTTCCGACTGTGGCCGACAGCTAGTGACTAGCGGTGGTGGCCAGATCTAGCCACCACTCTTGGGTAATTTTTTAAAATGCAGGGGTATTTATATCTTAAAAATTTTGTATATGAGGATAAAATAGCCCACGAATATATTTGTAAGTTGTTTTCAAATTGAGGACATTATTGTCAAAAAAAATTAATAGTTAAGTATAAAATTGTAACAAAAATAAGATTACCAAGTAATTTTAAAATACTTAAGAAAATAGAGATAATCATATTACCTCCTATATTAGCAACAGTAATTACTATTAGTTTTGAAAGATTATTAGAATTTTATATTACTTGACAACCAAACGTGGTAATTAAGTAATATAAAATGACATTACCCTAATAACGGGAGATTACTCCCAACCAAATATACACTTAGGACAATAAAGCATTTTCACTATAGTGGTTTCTTCATTATCTCCACTTCCTTCGGAAGGAAGTAGGTTTTATGAATGAGTAATGTTAGAGGTATAAAGAAATCTTACAAAGATTTTTATATAAATTGATGTGGTAGGAAATGAATGAAAGTGTGATTATGATGAGTTTGACTTTTTATATTCACTCTTTTATCTATTTCCTACCATATCACTTTATACAGAAATCTTTGTAGGTTCTCTTTTTACCTCTGATTAAGTGCTAGCTTTCTCTTTGTTCCCTTTTAATAACTTGTATCATCTTATTTGTTTTGTCTGGGCCATTCATTGATTTTGGGCATATCTCTACCCTCATTTCAATGGGCTTGATTTGGTTGTCTGATGAATGACCTATATGGGGTCAGTAGGCGCTTATTTTGTTGCTAACATAATCCCATTTAAATGGTGTTATTTCAACACCACCTAATCTCTTTGTAAACCCTATATGAAATAATAACTAATTTATAAAAATAATTTTTTTATATTTTTAATTTTATTCTAAAATTACCCTTTTCTTTTCCTTTCTAAATTTCCGTTGTTTTAAAAAGGCTCATATATATTTGAAAGTTTTGCTTGTTTTCACCGGTGAAGAACTGAAAAAACTTGAACACCACAAAATCGCTTAAGTTTGCTAAAGAGAATAACACTTTCTCAAATGGATTTCATGCAAGCAAAATTGTGATACGGTTCCTGAATTGGATTTGATGACTTCCAAATATTAGAATTCTTTTCTCCTCAAATATAGAAAACAAACCTAAAATCTTAAATTTCTCAAGCAACCAATAAGACAACCATTATATTAAATACATTGCAGAGACAAAAATTTAGGGTTAAAAGTTGGTAAAGAGTTAGATTATATACTTTTTTTTTTCTTGTTCTTAAGTCTAAGAATTAAGATTTGACTCACAAAAATATTATTGTTATTCATCATTGTTGAGACTGTAATCTGAAATATAGATGAGAATAAACAACTAACTACAACTGAAAATGGACAATGGATTTAAAACAGACTTCAACGAAAATAAGAGACACATCGATATATAGTGGTTCGACACTCAAGGCCTACATCCACTCTTCAGGCCAAAGAAGGATTTCATTAAATCACCAAGGTTCATTGATTACAGAGTATAGGTTAACCTCAATATAAAACAATCAAGAAAAATCACCCCTGAAACCCTAGCCTCCCTTGTCTTTACCTCTACCCTTGGTAAACGCAAGAGTAAGAATTTATACAATAGAGATACCCCTTTAATTAGCCTTCACCTGGATTTATATTCCCTTCCAGCTGTGAGATAATAATTACACTCAATCTTGCCATTCATTTTTATCACCATGAACCAAGAGATGAAGAAATGAAGAGTGTTCTTTGAGTTGAGCAAATGGCAGGAAGCAAAACAGAATAGAAGTGGTCCTTCCATTTAAAACGGTGTCACTTCTCATATTTGGGTTTCTCTGACTTTTCAACATTGCTGATGTGGCAAAACATGTGCCACATAACCACAATTCTCCACCTTGGCACTTGCTTTGACTACCCTCTTTTGCCTTGGAAATTTTATCTTCCTCACTCAACTTTCAGAAGGCTCATACAAAGCCTATGTTTGTCAGTAACAATTGGCTTTGTGAGCATATCTGTTGGATTATTAGAACCAGCTATCTTTGTAATCTTGATTTCTCTTTTTTCAATCAATTCCCTGATGAAGTGAAGACGCACATCAATATGCTTAGTTCGTTCGTGAAAAACTTGGTTTTACACAAGTAAAGAGCACTCCAACTATCACTATGTATCACTACCATCCTTTGAAATATCCCCAGTTCACTCACTAAGCCTTTCAACCATATTGCTTCTTTTGCAGCTTCAGTAATAGCCACATGTGTTAAAGCTTTGATTTCCAATTTTCCCAAACTGAGAAAGCAAAACCAGTATGGACTTTCTTTTGTCAGCATCTCTAGCATAATCAGCATCCACATAACCATCAACACAATTCTGGATCGTTTGGCTTCTCTTGTATTCAATACCCACGGAGCTTGATCCCTTCACATACCTCAAAATCCATTTCAAAGCAAAATAGTGGACTCTTCCAGGATTACTCATGAATCTACTTACCAAACTTACTGCATATGCTAAGTTTGGCCTTGAACATATCATAAGGTACATAAGGCTTCCCAAAGCATTTGCATATGGTATTGAAGAAATTTCAAGTTTCTCTTCTTTTGTTTGTGGACTTTGATCATGTGACAGCTTGAAATGTTGTCCCAAAGGTGTTTGAACAGGTTTGCACTCCTTCATATTGAACTTTTGTAAAACTTTCTCAGCATATTCTTGCTGAGACAACTTCAAATTGCCATTAGCTCAATCTCTGACAATTGACATGCCTAGAATCTTTCGTGCTTGGCCTAGCTCCTTCATTTCAAACTTGGTATTCAGCACATTCTTCAATTGAGTTAGCTCACATTTGTCATGACAGACAATGAGCATATCATCAACATACAAAAGCATGAAAAATATGAGTCATTTATAAAATCTTTTTATAATAAAAACAACTATCAAATTTGCTTCTAAAAAAGCCAATTTCAAGCATATAAGAATCAAACTTTCTATACCACTGACGAGGTGATTGTTTCAAGTCATATAAAGATTTCTTAAGTAAATAAACTTTACCTTCTAAACCTTTTTCCTCATACCCTTTAGGTTGCTGCATTATAATTCTTTCTTCCAAATCACCATAGAGAAAAACTGTTTTTACATCCAGTTGTTCTAGCTCTAGATTGAATTGAACCACTAATGATAACAACACTTTGATTGTAGAATGTTTGACTACAGGAGAGAAAATCTCATTGTAGTCAATTCCCTTAACGTAATTAAACCCCTTTGCTACTAAACGAGCCTTGAATCTTGGAGGTTCTAATGAGGTCATTCCTGGTTTTCTTTTGAAGATCCACTTGCAATGAACAACTTTGCCATTCTTGGGTTTATCAACCAGTGTCCAAGTCTCATTTTTCATGAAAGAATTGTATTCTTCATTCCTAGTCCTTTTCCATTGTAACTTGTGAACACTAGTCATAGCTTCTTGAACAGTCTTAGGTTCATCACTAAGTTCTTCTTCAACTTGCAAAGCATATGCAACCAAATCTGCATATCCAAGTATCTTTGGAGGTCTTATTACCCTTTTAACATGATCCCTAGCCAAATGATAATCTTCCAACTCTAAATCATGTTCCATTGGTTCATTCCAGCTATAGATTCCCGATCTCATATGACATTCTTCTGGAATTATCAACTTCTTTCCCAAGTCCTGGTAGGACATCTTCTTTGAATACCACATCCCTACTTATAATACAATTTCTAGCTTCCAAGTTCCAGAGTTTGTAGCCTTTAACACCTTTTGGATATCCCAAGAAAACACATTTTACTACCTTTGGTTTTAGCTTATCATCCTTGACATAGATATAAGCTAAACAACCAAAAACTCTTAGATTGTCAAAGTTGATTGAGTGGCCAGTCCACTTCTCCATAGGCATTTTGAAATCTATTGTTGAGGATGGAGTCCTATTAATGAGATAAACTGTAGTGTGTACTACCTCTGCCCAGAACTTCACAGGTAATTTTGCACTTGACAACATACTTCTCACTTTTTTCTAAAATGGTCCTATTCATCCTTTCACATAGGCCATTTTCCTGGGGAGTGTTCCTCATTGTTTTATGCCTCACAATACCATGTAACTTGCAGAAACTGTTGAACTCCTCATTCACAAACTCCAAGCCATTATCAGTTCTTAACTTCTTCAATTTCGTTTCAGTTTGAGTCTCCACCATAGTCTTCCACTCTTTAAACTTAGGAAATGCTT